CACGCCCAGCTCGTCGACCGACGCGCTGTTCCTGTCTTCGCTGGAGACAGGCGGGCGCATCGCGCGGCGCGCAGAAAGGAAAGCGCGCGGGTTGCGCGGCGCAGGCGTGCTGGGTCCGATGGTGTACGACACCGGGCCCGCGTTATCCGACTGGTAACCCTTACCGACGCGCTTCACGCCCGTGGTGGCCATGAGGAAGCGGTCGTACACACCCTCGAGGCGGCGGAGACTCGGGGAATCGGGAACGGGCGCAGGCCCGTTGTTAGCCTTTCGTGCTGGATACGGCTCGACGTGGAACGGGGAGGAATTGAGCTCGTCAAAGGAGCGTTCGACCGTATGCGAGGGCTCCTCTTCATCGAATGTCCGACGAACGGGGGACGCGACGAAGTAACTTCGGTCCAGAACCTCAGACAAGCGAGGAGAAGGCATGGGCGCAATCGCTGGAAAGAGTCGTTAAAACATGAAAGAAGCAACAATGTCAAAGTTGTTCTTACGTTTGGCGATCTCCAATTCAAGCTGGGCGACGGGAGTGATGCGGCGCTCGAGAAGAGCCGCATGAGACTTGCTCTTCTCCTTCCGTTTTGATGGAGATCCAGTCTCCACGTCGATATCAAAGTCCGCGTCTGCAGGCTCTGGCGAACGTGCGCTGACCGTCGCACGGCGCTGGCGAGTCGGTGTACGGGGCCTCGTCAAAGTCGGGCTCGTTGCCTCGCTAATGTCGGTGTTCGCAACTGTCGAAGAGGCGACGGCATTCATCGAGGTGTTTTGACTGTAGTCAACATGGTCGGCAAAGATTTGGCTGGCTGCAAGCACCCTACGGGGCAATCGCGAAGAGCGATAGGTTTGTGACTGCGAAGCAGTACGGGAATGAGACGCTGCCCGCGAATGAGATGTTACTCGAGAAAGAGGAGCTAGCGGCAGCGGGGGAAGTGGAGTGATTTCTCTCGAGGATGAAGCAAAGTTTTGACGAGCCTCGTCGACGACCTGCTCGACGTTGCGCATCCAGATGGCCATCCGGTCCATCCGGTTGTCGGCTGCGACTCGCTCGTTATGCACTGCATGTCGAACGACGGGAAGAGAGGATTTGGCTAGAAAACAATGAGCACAGGTGAGGGCCAAAGAGCTTGGGGGTACCATCTCTTTCGAAGGCTTCATCTTCCCATGATTCCCGCCGCAGACTTGGGCTGCGACGGGAGGCGGCATCGTCTGGAGTATCCGCGAGTGTTCGAGAAGACACATTGCGGCTGGCGGCCTGCGCCATTAACTGCAAAGTTTTGTCTACATAGCGTCACCGTCGTGCTCTCCGGAGAACAGCAATGCCGACATACCAAATGATAATTTGACACTGTGCTTGAAGCTGTGGATAGCAAAACTGCTGCCCCGAGGAGAAACGTTGGTAGCACTCGGCGACGACGGCAGCAACACTTCAGCCTGAGGTCGTAGTACTTCTGCAGGCAAAATCAGAACCAGCGGCACAAGACAACAAATGGTCATCTAGTCTTACCAGGTGTTGGGGGCGGGGCAATTGGACGTGGAGGCGAAAGCATATCAGATACGTCTGCGCTCTGATTCTCCTTGCCGCGTGCTCGCTCTCTAGCTTCGAGCGCCTTCCGCTGCCGCTCAGCCTGCTCGCGCTCCGCTTCAAACTGCGCATCCCGATCTCTCTCAAGTTCATCTAACCGCTCCATCTCTCGTAAGCGTTCCTTCTCTCGCTCCCACTCCCGGACGCGGTCCTTCACTGAGTCCCGCTTCACTCGGTCTTTGGGGACGTTGCGGTTCGCAGCGGTAAGTTCAGCCAGCGGCCTGACTTTGCGGGTATCCTTCGCCGGCTCGCCGGCTTGCTTGGGCTGCGGCAGGTTTTCGCGGGTGCGTGGGCTGATCATCGCCAGAGGTTGGCGTTGGTTTGCGGAGGTCGTAAGGGAAGCCAGGGACATGACGTTCTGCTGGGCCGAAGGTGGGGGCGACGCTGGCGGGGAGCCTTTGATAGGCGAAAGATCCACCATAGGAGGCACCGGAACGCGTTTTCGGGCCTGTACTTGGACTAACGGGGTCCCATGAGCTTCGTGGCATGTATGCCAGGCACAGAGAACTTACTCTTCGAGGCGGTGACCTTTGGTTGCGATTTGGACTTGGTGATGCTGCGCTGAATGCTGTCGCCCTCTTTGGAGAAGCTTGAATCTAGACCCGGGGGTGAACGGTTCTCTTTCTTGCTGTTGTTTGACCAAGGAGATATGGGGTTCCCAAGCTTGGAAGCATCCTTCTCGAAAACCACCGACGAAGTGTAACTAGACGATCGTCCTGCGTTCACAGTTAATTCAATCGTTCCGTTCTGAAAATAAATTTTATTACTGTGGGAGCTCTCGGTTTCCTTGAGGGGACGCCAGCAAGGGTCGTTCATAGCATCCGAAGAGGTGCAGCGCAAGTCTGCGTTGGGTGAGATCATACGTCGGAGTAGCTTCTCCATAGTCTTGGACATCTTCCAGGTGCCGACCCACTTCCCTCGAAGCTGCGGAATGACATGAGCGCTTCTCACATCAGACCTGAAGTCAAGCTCACTGTGCGCGCCCAGTACTTTTCAAGATCTTCCTTGGTGGAGAATTGCTCTGAATCCGAATGCTCGAATGGTGTCCGACCAATCAATATTTCGAAAAAGGTAATGCCGAGGGACCACACGTCGGACTTTCTTGTGTCGTGGGGAAGACCGCGCGCGCGCTCTGGAGACAGATACTGCGTGAAATGTGAGAAAATATGTCTGAAACGCGAGCTAGAAGTAGTTACCTCGGGCGTGCCATAAGACAGATTGCTGTGGAACGCAGTGCTGGACTTAATGTCGTACTTTTCCGCGAATCCAAAGTCAACCAGAACGGGAATGTTCTTGGTGGAGAGTAAGATATTAGCTGGCCTGAAGGAACGTTGAGGTGGGAGACTATCAATACAAAATACCCTTACTTAATATCATTGTGTACGACACCGCGTTTGTGAAGGAATTCGACTCCCGAGAGAAGGAAGCGGAACCATTCCCGAGCCTTAGACTCGTCAACCTCGACCGGCACGAGTGTTGGAAGGAAAGCCCTAGTGGGAAAACAGCGGTCAACAAACAAGCAGTGTCGACGCGTATAGGGGAGGTGGACGCGTCAAATGCTTCGACATGGCGCTCTGAGGTGATTTTGGCCGATCTGAAGCACTCACATTGTAATCAACGCGTAGGAAGGAGTGATAATGAACGAATGAAACGGGATGATCGAAGGGTGTGGATCCGACTTGAATGACCGAACGATCTTCATTTCGTTCCATCTGCGGTCGCAGGAGGTTACAAATGCACAGTATGCGAGCACAAGAAGCCGACATACAATGATCTGACGCGTGCAGCGGTCGTGGAAGTCTTGGATCGGTGTACCAGCTTCACAGCGATCTTGGTTTCCTGGAGTTTGACGAGACCATCGGCGTCGGGGGAGTCTGGGTCCTCCTTGGGTCGACAGAGCCAGACGCTACCCCAGTTACCGTACCCAATCTCCTCCACGAACTGCAGCTTGTCTGACAGGACTAATGTACTGTGAGTTGAGCACGGAGGAGGACGGGGAGGAAGAGTACCTTGGTCAGAGATGGAGAACACGTCAGTAGAACCCTCTTGCAGCTGAGGGGAGTCCATCGTGGAACGCGACACAACAGGACGAAGACAAGGGGAAGTCCGCCTGGCGGCGAGTGTTGAAGCGAGTCACGTGCACCGGGTGCTATCAAATCAAGGGTCGTGGCAAGCGTGTGTTACGCGACATTTCAATCATTTTGGGTGCGCTGCAAGCGTGGGACGCAAGTGGGACGCATACCCGAGATTGCTGTAAAAGCAGCTGGGAAAATGACGTGAAAATTAAGCGGAACGACGCGTTTCTGTGCCCAACTTTGCCCAAGTTCAACCTCAGAGACTCTCATAAATTGAACAGTGGTTCAAATCTACGCGGCGCGCCGACACGTCCTTCCCGCGTCAATATGCCAAAGATCCCAGATTTCCATCATAGAGGTTTTTTTGGGGGGGTTCAGGCCCGAACGATAACATGCCTACATTCTTCTTCTGGTTAGTTATGTGATTCTTTTCGAGTGCCCTCATCTGATTCAAATTTAAATCCCGACCAATCTAGTCAGCCTATAATCAAGTCTCATTGACTCTAAGTACGTACAAACGCGCGTACCTGACGGACCGGATACTTATTCAAATGCGTAGGCCCCTCAACTATTCTGTGGGTCCACCAACTTGAACTGTTCGAAGGCTATTAATATATTTGCCCCTCAACTAGATATCTGGTGCTGGGGAATTAGTTCAACTACTTTAATCAAAACTTTGAAGTTGCCTTGTTCAACCTGACAGTGATTATTATTTCATGAATGCAGAACAAGGCTGGTCTCCCTAGTCAGACCTTATGACAAACTTTCCTTTTTAGAAGTAAGAGGGGGAAAGTTTTACAATAGGTGAACAAGGCATAGTTAATCAGATGTTTTGAACCTCGGTGTAGGTCTTCGCAACTGTTTGAACACCGCTGATATTTTTCGTCCCTTAACTAGTGTTGTGCAATTTTTCAGAGTGGGTGAGGACTTATACAACTGATTCAAAAGTCAGATTCCCAACTGTTTGAACACTATATTTGGTCAGTGGACAAAGGAAAGGAGTTGTTGTCTATCTAGTGGCCTCACTGCTGATATAAGTACTGGTGAATAATTGGGTTTTTGTGCTTTGTTCCAGAGTTCACTTTCTAAAACTGTACCTGAGTTTCCAAGTCTGCTCATGCAGCGGCGAACACAAGAATAACCTGGAGTCGATTATCAGGGCAGCTAATAACTCCTGTAATTGTGTAATTTGTGTTCAATGATGCTCTTTGGTGGTACATATGAATCAAAAGAATCACTGTCAGCATTTAATAACGCACATTTCCATGCTGAACAAAAGAGGTTGTCCTCCTAGGCCTTGATACTAATAGAGAGGTACCAAGGCCGGGAGCCCATTCTACATTGCCCGCCTAGCTCAATCGGATAGAGCGTCAGACTTTTACGAAGGCGGGTCGATTCCTACATCTAGAACATCTGAAGGCTGCGAGTTCGACCCTCGCGGTGGGCTATTCATTCTTTTGTCTGTTATTTATTTCTTCCTTCTCGGAATCTTTTTCTTTGCGCCACGGCAGGGGTTGTACCTCGAACACTCAAGAACAGAATCGCAAGACTTTTTCATTAATCTGAGATCTGTCACAATGTTAATTTTCAACTTCCTGATATCATTCCCGTCCCTGCAAGAAGCTCCCGTCTCAGTCAGCATTCGATTCCCCACCTGAAAATTAAATCAAAAAGAAAACCTTTTGTCGGGATCGAAAATTTGATCGGCCCAAACCGGGTCATGTATGTTTCATTGCCATTCGTGAGATGGCCGTATCTTGGTTATTCTTGGGGTACTTTAGAAGTGTTACTCGGCCGGAGATTCAGTTCTACCCATTCAACCCTCGGAGGTTCCTAAATACAGTAGAACCATTAGTTTTGCGATGGCCCCGGCATGAGCCCCAAGATGAAGAATTCCGAGATGTCTCAAGTTGGTTTAAACTGACTACCTTCAAGGCTGCAAGTCAGCTGTGAATAGACGACACAAACTAGCTGATGCTAAAGGAAAGACGTTATTGTCTGAGTTGAAATCAAGCGGACATGCTGTACAACTTCCATTGTGGACTCAAACAAGGTAGTCTGAGTCAAGCAATGTTGTATATATGCCTTCCCAACTGACTCTTAAAGGTTCCAGATTGTCTCCAGATAAGTTGAATAGAGACGTTTCCCACGCGCTCCATTATACTTGAACATCTAGAAAGCCCCCAAATAATGCAACCGAGATCTGCGCCCAGTCCTACCTAGGTCTACTTACCTTATCATTTTTGGGAACCTATGCGCCGAAGAATATCCCCCGACGGTTTAAACTTACTCCGAGTCGCCGAATGGCTCGGATCTGCTACATACAGTCCATATATCGAAAACGATCTCTAATTGCCTTATTCGGACTTTGGCGTTGAGTCGTTGAGTGACTCGTCACGCTGTCACACGGCATCAAAGGCTTAAGATGAACGACTCGGATATAGAGAAACCGAAAAGACAACCAGGCCAGTTTGCTCACATTGTGCGGCGCGCACACTGACTCTACTACAGTACGCGCAAATCCTGAGCAGCTCAAGATCCTCAAGGCTAGCATTGCATTGATTCCTGGCAGAGGCTTCACCGCGGAAGAGTGCATCAAACTGAGCACGGAAACTGGCCTGTGCGTTCGTAATTGCCTCAAAGAACTCTAACCTGAACTGTTGTTTCGCAGCACTCGTACATGGATCAAGTCGTGGGTCACTCGCTTCAGAAAGAGCGAGAAAGGTTCGGACGAACGGCCGAAGAAGCGTGCAGCAGTGAAATCAGAGCCTGAAGACGCGCCACCACTGAAGAGAGGGCGTCGACGCTCCGCTCGCCAACCCAAACTTGAATCGCCTCCGCCGGAATGGCAAATCGCACCAGATACCGATGATTCACGCATTCCTTCCAGCAGCAGAAATCCCACCCCCGCGAATCCACCTCCCGCCACCTACCCCTCGGCCTCCGGCCAGAACATCTCTCCTGTTTCGCACGCAGTACCCGGAAGCAGTGTATATTTTGCTGGCACGCCCATCTTTTCAAAGTTCCAGCTGCCGCCCCCCCTGCAGCCATCTGCTTCGCGTCCCCAGCAGTCTCCTTCTCAGCAACACCCCCAGCAGTCTCTCTACCAGCATTCTCACCCTGCCGGCGCAATGCTCCTTCCGCGACAGTCCACCGAGACACCCAACCAGCAGCACAAGTCTTCCGCTTCGCGCCCCCAGCTGTCTCCCAATTCGGCTTATCAGCGTTCTCACATGCAGTCTTCATATCAGTACTCTCACCCTGCCCCTGCAATGGTCCTCCTGCGGCAGTCTTCCGAGAATGTCAATCCTGCTCAACGACCAGTGAACGCCTGGGGCATCCCTTATAATCACGCAGCCCCCCTCCTTGTTCCTTCTGTCCGCGACACCTATGCCCACAGTTCCCCTTCTTCGTTTGTACCCAATCCCGTCGCGCTACCCTCGCTCTTTGTCGGAAATCACCTCCCTCCACCCCACGCTAGCGCTACAGTTAACAGAACCGCGGAGATCTCCCCGTTTACATCGAACACCCCAATCCACAACTTGCGCTCCCCTTTCAATTCTTCATTTTCCAATGAGCCGATCAAGCACACGCACCCGCTGATTACCCCTTCTCATCTGGCTTCCTACATTCCCAAGCATAATTTCGAAAACGAAAACGATGACTCTCAGTCCACCGTGGCCACAGAATTCAACATCGACGACAACCTTCTATTCAGCAGCGTAACGCCCTGCATTTTGGCTTTCCCGTTTCGTTCCTTGACCCTACTTGTTAGATGCTCAATCTCACTCCCGCGAGCCCTGTGAAGCGCGCTACGCCGGTAGCTCCCGTGGACGAGTACAGTGCGGACGAGGACAGCGTATTCGACATGGACATAGCAAAGCACCTCACCGTTCTGCAGGGTGGGTATTTCGAAGAAGAGAACGGTACCGTTCGCGAGATGACGCTGGACGAAATGCACGACCGGCTCCTCGACCCCGACCTCGCGAAGAGCGACCCGTTCCAGGCTGCGATGGGGCTGGTGTTCATGTCGAGGACTGGGTTGGATTGGGAGTGTTAGAATGCGCCGCTATGTAGCTTTGTTGCCCGTCGAATTGTTTGTCGTGTCTAGGCCCCGAATACATCCGCGCGGCGTTGCGCATTGATCCGTACTTGCACTTGAACTCGACCCCCCATGGCATCCCGTTTGTCCCGACAGGCTTTCTCGACGACCGCTCGCGCAGCCCGGTCTGTGCGCTCGAAAGCGCAGCCCGCAAAGCGCTTCATGAGCGCAGACGCGACTGCACACGCCCACGAGTTCAAGCCCAAGTCCGACATGCCCTGGATTGTGCGTCTACCCGCGCGCTGCATTATACTAGCTCTCAGAGACCTCTAGATTGGTGCTGCGGTCGTCTCTGTCCCCGCTGTGAGCCTTTCTTGGACTGGGCTAAGTGCAATGAACTGAATCGCAACGCCAAAAGCTGGCGTACTTATTGCGGGACACGCTCGAAATTAAAAAGAAGATCGCTGCGGGCCACCACGGGCATGACTCGCACGACGCGCATGCCGCGCACGGCGAGGCGCACGATGACCATGCGTCCAAAGCGGTGGCGGAGGATGACCATGCATCCAAAGCGGTAGCTAAGGATGACGAGGCGGAAGCTTCGAGCTCAACCAACGTACGTGTACTTTTCCTCTCACAGCTTCCCGACCGACACGGTTAACTCAGGCGGCGGACGACTCGGAGGGTGGCGCAGTAAGTATGCCGTCTAGTCGTGTGTCTCGACGTTAGCTCATTTTGCTCAGAAGGCTGAAGAGTCGACCTCCGATGCTGTGAGTCCTCTGGTGTGACCCGCTCCCCCAAACTCATCTCACAACCAGGCTGCCGAACCGCCTAAAGACGAAAAGGAGAGCGAGAAGGAGGAAGAGAAGGAGGAGAGCAAATGAAGGGCTTGAAAGCTCGGTATGTGATATTATGTGTCCGGATATCCCATGAGTTGACGGTTTCCTACGACAGAAACAAAAGAGTAGAACGACTCTAGACGGACTACACCATAAATATCGTCGCCAGAGAATACATCTGCTTCTTCAGACCTTCATTGCTTTGGGTTCTGCCAGGACCCATTTCTAGCCATTCATTGTTCTCTGCGGCTCTGGACTTCCTCTACCCCGTGAACCCCAGCTGTGAGGACTCAACGATGCACTGGTATCGCCATCCGCGAGACTTGGCCTACCACGCGCTAGTCTCTCTGAGGCAAACTCCAGAGGGAACTCAATGGTTCAAGGGAATTAGTTCAGTCCGCCTTGAGGACTGCTTGGTGGTCTATAATATCATCAACTTGGACGGAATGGAGTCCTTGCGCCTTCTATCGACGGCTGGTGCCCAAATGCCATCATAGAGCTTGGAGCCGACAGGACTCTCGTTCCACAGCAGCCATACGTCCGTGTATCCTCAGCTTCCTCTTTGAACGCTACCACACAGCCGCCCCATCCTCGTCCATTCGTGTTCCGTAGCTCATGCACCAGATTGCAGGCACGGCTGTGGTCAGAAAACCCGGATCCAGACTTTGTCCAGACCCCTTCTAGTCGTTGTTGCAGTCGTTGACACTCGTTGTTATATCGTCGGGCTTAGTAGATCCTTATGCCTGTGTGTAGCCGATTTCCTTGTTTCACAATGTCCTCAGGCTCGTTAGAGGCCTTCTTTCCGTTGATGAGCCATATCTAATCTCGTTCATACATATTGAGCGATCACCGATCAATGCTGCTTTCCTTTTCTCGATCAACCTCGATCCGCCACTTGACTTTGCTCTCCCGTACCATGGCATACAAATACATCTCAGGCGACGTACGACCCCGGCGCTCTCCATCCCCCGGCTGTGCGCTGAATTGTGGTAGAAACTCGCGGAGATGATCAAGAGCGACAAGGTCGCGAACCAGGACTATCTCGTCGTAGATGTGCGGGACGACGATTATGCTGGCGGAAACATCACGAACGCTGTGAACATGCCTTCACGGCAGTTTCGCACGTCTGTGGATGACCTCGTGCAGAAGAGTGCCGATGTAAAGGTTATGGTCTTTCATTGCGCGTTGTCGCAGGTGCGGTGCGTATGCGCCAGTTTCTCCAACTGGAACGCATACTCAACGCGTTCAGAGGTCCTCAAGCGGCGCGTGTAAGCGTATCTCACAAAATTATCGAGCTCTGTTGTAATTGAGACATCGAAGATTTACGAAGAAAAACGCAACAAGTTGGATCTCGCGCGAGACAAGCCTCAGGAAATCTATGTGTTGACCCAGGGATTTACAGAATTCCAGCGGAAGTTCAAGGTACACATTCCATATTTTTATGGTCATCGACTTCATACTCATCGATACAGGACGACCCCACGCTCGTAGTGAACTGGGATAAAGACGTGTGGGAGAACGCCGAAGACTGGAGTTGAAATGCTTAGGTCGAACTAGGCTCTTTAT